ATTATTATTATTATTATTATTATTATTATTATTATTATTATTATTATTATTATTATTATTATTATTATTATTATTATTATTATTATTATTATTATTATTATTATTATTATTATTATTATTATTATTATTATTTCAGGGAACGACGTCTCGCAGGACACGCTGTTACTACACGGACCTTTCGCGAGGAAGCCCAAGCGGATCCGCACCGCGTTCTCGCCCTCTCAGCTGCTGCGCCTGGAGCGGGCCTTCGAGAAGAACCATTATGTGGTCGGAGCCGAACGGAAACAGCTCGCTAACAGCCTCAGTCTCTCTGAGACTCAGGTAAACATTAGCAAACTCGTGCTATAACACAACAAAAAATTCCGTTTTCCCATGCACATCGAAAATCTCTTTATAGCTAATCTTTTTAAAGGCACAAAAGTAAAATGGTCTTTAGTAGCAGCTGTTTCGCTTGCAGTAGAGAAAGTGCCCAGTCGAACTAAGAGTTTCACAAAATAGCCTATAACAGAAAAAAAAGTCTATAACTAGTTAAAATAATTCCTGTGAAACCAAGAAACGTTAGTAGGCTATTAAAGAAATAAATAAATAAAACACATAAAATAATAATAATAATAATAATAATAATAATAATAATAGGCTAAATAGGCCTATGTTTTTAAAGTTATGATTAAATGTTTGATATGAAATTGTAGGAAACTGACGACTATAATAATGATACATTTTTTATTTTGAATGATTAATGTTGTACTGACAAGGTGTTGCTGTTGGCCTACATGATAATGTAAACAACACTTGGGCTGCTTGCAAAATCCAGAAACGGGCCAATAGCAGAATAAATCCGAGTCTGAAAGGACGATGGCTGGCCATGTGTCACTTGTTAACTGCGCTCTGTGATATAATTTTATTTTAGGCCAGGAATGAGTTCTAGCCTGCTTGCTTTGCTCAGATAAGTAAGAATAAACCCATTCACCCTGATCAAATGATGTAAAGCTCAGTCTGAACACGTTTTATTTTTAATTGTCTTGTTCATTTGTGTTTACATTTCATTTAAACCCTGCAAAGTGAGTTTTCCTCAGTGTTCCTCCAAATTATGTCATTTGGCTAAATAAGCGTCATCTAACATGATTTGATATAGTAGGCTATCGCAACATAGCACACTTAATTTGTAAAATCTTACAAAATCTTATAATCTATAAAGAAACTAATCTAAAATAATAATAGGATTAACATCGTTTTATACCAACTATCCCAAGAGAAAGATAATTTTGTTAAAATATTGGCCAATACATAGCCATAGGCTATTTGTGTGTGTGTGTTTTTTTTAATTAATTAATTTCTAAGCTTATGTTTTGTGGAAAGTGATTCAGGATTCAGTCAGCATCTCGTGGATTTGTTCAGCGAAGCGCGCAGGAGACCGCTTCAGAAATAAATCAAATAAAAAATAACGGTAAATCATCGTTTCTTCTTCTTCCACTTCTGCCGGGTTGTTGTTAGGGGTCCTTGGTTTCCCTAAATACGACTATTTATGGCGGTATGCATAGACTGCTCTTTTGAAACGTGTGAAATGTAAACCGTTATTGAAAAAAAAAAAACTAGAACAAATTTTTTTTTTAATGAATCTTTTAATTAATAAATGAATTACTTTAAAATGTATAACTTATTCGTGTTTGTTTGGATTTCTTCTGTTATGCAACAAAGTTCTAAAACAAATTAAAAATGGACAAAAAAAGCAACAGAGTCAATTGAATGTCTTGTATGGACCGCATGTCATCTGTGGCGTTAAAATGGTTCGATTAGAACACAAATGCGTTTGAACTGTGTTTCTAGGCATCAATCACAATCTGTCTTGACAGGCTAAACTGTCAACATAGTTATGTATAGCCTACTCACCAATGCCCTGCTCTTCTGCTCCCCTCAGGTGAAAGTGTGGTTCCAGAACCGCAGGACCAAGTATAAGCGACAGAAGCTGGAGGAAGAGGGCCCGGAGTGCACACACAAGAAGAAGGGAAACCACCACATTAACCGCTGGAGAATTGCCACCAAACAGACCGGATCTGAGGACATAGATGACATGGCATCTGATGCCTAAGACCAACCTAAACACTACCCAAATGAACACACAAGACCAAGAAAAGCACTATTTATTTAATGTTATTAGTCATGATATTCTAAACCTAACTGCAGAGAACCTGACCATGTGAGTGTGGTGATTGTGAATTAAGGATGAATTAAACAGGTCAGCAAGTAATCTACACCCAGGACTGAACAGTTGTTAAACATACCTCTGCTGGAATTATCCAATGTTTGAGACATGCATCACCTTTAAGAAGAAATCATCTTATATATGACTATGTCTTTCTCTCGCTCTTTTTTATTTTATTTTTTGGAAGAAATTGTATTTAAAACTAACAATGAAGTGAATTTTCACAAGTCAATATTTTTAATTCTGATTATTTTGTTGTTTGTTTGTATAGTCGGTTACTAAAATTGACATTTTTATTAATTTAAACATGATGTTGCCTAACATGCTAAATTCATCCAAAAAAAAAAAGAAAAGAAGTTCCAAATGCTTTAAGACATGCTGATGAAATTGGTGGCAGCTTTTGGTAATTATAGCTACTAGATTGAAATAAGTTAAGTAATGTGAGGAATCAGTTTACCAGCCAGTTTTAACATGAGCCATCCTGTACCCACAGCATAGAGGCAAGAGTGTATGTGTCTGTAAATAATGGTCTCTGTATCTAAAGGAGTGTAGGAATTGGTGTTAAAGAGTGTTCGAGTGTAACAGGATGAGTGAGTGTGTGTGTGTGTGTGTGTGTGTGTGTGTGAGTGATTTGCATGATGTCATTCAGTAGGCTGACTGGTAAATACAGGCTGATGTATGCTGGTTTCTCTGTAACAGCTCCTTGAGTCATAAACTAAAGCGAATGTTTGCCAATTTACACATTAGCTTCTTTATAGTGTTCCTTCATCTCATTTTCAAGCAAAACATGATCAAAAATGTCCATAATTAATAAAGATGTTTCAGAGCAAGCAGTTCACACCTAATTGTTCCCCAAAAGAAGATATCACAAAAACTTCAGTAACTTTTTTTAACCTACGAAAAAGAATTTACCCTTTTAAAATGTTTGCACACACACACACACACACACACACACACACTCAGACAAGATTTTTTTTTTGTTGCATACTGAATCAGTTGCAGTGGAAACATTGATCTTATAACAAATTACTGAATATATGACTGCCATTACAAGTGTATTACAGTGAGCAGTGCATGTACTACAAGTAATTATACCAACAATGGAACAAAGAAAGAATTTTCAATTACATTTTTATTAAAAATTTATGTTTTCTCTGAATATGAGAATAGTTAAGCCAGACCCGTCTGTCACAGGACAGATCAGTTTCATAGACCTGATTTTAGTCCATACTGTCCAATTGTTTTGCCTTTATAGGATAGTTTTGTGCTCACAGGAACTCTCATTCTCATATAAATTAAAGAATTAAAAAATATTTTTCTCTTGATTTTGAAATTAAAGCAAAAGCTGACAAAAGGAAGGTATAAGCACTAATCTTACCCTCATTAATGCAGTCATGTGCATGTTGTGCAACTGTGTATGGCAGTCCTGCACGGTTAATGATTCTACATGCGGCTTCATGTCATGTCTCTCCTCACTACTGCTCACTGTGATCTGTTCCCGTGACAACCAGATAGAAAAACACACAGGTCCATAAAGTGTGCCATGTCTTTCCAGCCTCGAGCATTTTTCACAGTCAAAACTGACACTTCAGCCATCATAAAAAGCTCAAATGAAGCAGCGAGCACTGGTAAATATCCAAACCAGGGCCAAAACTTGCAATATTTTGCTCAGAAACAGATGGCAATGAGTGTGTGAGGCAGAATCTGAAACAGACATCCTGTGAGGTGTGAAAGGGTGGGGGGGACAGGAGTGGAGTTTTTAGGGAGCGTTCGTCTGGAACCCTTGGAAAAGTGTAAAGAGGGAGCGAGAGAGTGAGAGGAGAGGAGGAGGGGAGGGGTGGGAGAGGAATAGAAGTAGTTGGCAGCACATATGTCTGCAGTTCAGTAACCATATGGATGAACAGCTTAATAAACACCATTTTAAACCATAACCGTCTTCATGGCAGACAAAGAGAAGGGACGGAGAGAAAGTGAGAGGGAGAGTGCGAGCGGATGGAGGGAGGCGTGTGCGTGTGCTCACCTGACTGTTTTGGGGGAACAGGCTGATGGCAACAGGCAGCGCTAGGCCGAACGCGCAGAGACACACCATGCTGTGAACAGGCAGCCCGAGACGAGAGTGCTTCTGCAGCAGAGGGAGCCTAACGTATAAACACCCACAAAATACATTATTGGTGCATTATTGGTAGAAAGCACCAAAAGCGGGAGCATTCCCGCCATTTTTGTTATTAAAGGCGCTCGCTGACACTTTCAAACTGCTGTATGTGATTGCTCTCTGACACCTCCCCTCCCTCCCTGGCCTCAGTGCGTGTGGGGGTTTGTGGGATAGCGTGCTCTGCAGGAGTCCTCCAGAGCAGTCCTGCTTTAATGAAGGCAGCGACTGCCTAATGATAACTTCATCAACACATACGCATGATGAGCTTTAATTGGCTACCAGAAACTCTCTCTCTCTCTGTGTATGTTTGGGAGAGAAACGGAACGGGGGAAAGGATCAAAGTATGTTAAAGAGCTTTTATCATGTCCATCAACTGCTCTAAATAAATCACCACACTCATCCGTCACTCTCCCGTGAAGAGGTCAAAGCTGAACTGAAGTGACATATAGTAAACAACAGTGCTGCCTTTAAATGAAACGTATCATATTATAGGGATGCACAATATTTATTTTCATGTTACGACCAATAACCAGTAAGTGCCAGATATTACAATTCTATTAAAAAATTAAATAAACACTAAAAACTAAAATCCATTTAAAATGCTACATATACATTTAGCTTACAAAAAAAAAAAAGATATTCATCTTGAGATTGGCTAAAGATTACATTTAAGAGTGTTATTAAATTATTAGCGTTTATGAAGATTAACCTTAAGGGGGCATTAGATGGCAAAGGTAATCTAAATGTAAAAATAGAATTAATCAAATAATTTTTGGTAACACTTTACTTGAAGCCTGTATGTATAATGCATTTTAAAGGTATTCATATTGTAATTCATTATATATTTTGATAATTAATTGTAAGTTAAAATGCATTATAATATTTGCAGATTCCTTGTTACATCTGAAATTGGTAGTTTGTCATGTACTTTAATGCATTAAAATTTCTAAAGATGCACCAATGAATTGATAAGTATTATAATGTATTATAATATTATATTTACAATTATTCATGAGATCATACAATGCATTATAAGGTACATTTGAAGTCATAATTAATGCATTAACATACTTTTATAATGCACTATATATAAATACTTCAAGTAAAGTGTTTCCAATTTTTTTATACTCCAAAAAAATACATTTTAAAAATCTTGATACAGTGCAAATCACTACAAGACTTATTGGTAGTTAATCCCTATAAGAATAACATCTGAAAGAAGCAATTAAGTTCATAAATGTCAATTTTTTTATTATTTGTATTTTTTTAATGTTGTTAAATTTCTATTGGCAAATAAGCACCGTAGTTACATTTATTTGCTTGGTTATGTTTAAAGCTTAAATTATTTTTTTTTAATTACATGTATTTAAAATTTCCTCTAGATCATTTCATGTGACACTGTTGTGTCTTGCAAGCCAGACTGAAACCATTTTTCCTACTTTAATGCAAAAACACCGTCACTGACTGTTTAGCAAAGCAGCTGTCTTCGTTTTCGGACACAGCTAGAGTGATAGTTGAAAGGTTTAAGCACCACACATATATCACACAGACTCCTCTCAGCGCTCTAATTAATCAAGGATAGCCCTGGCCCTCAGCCCCACCCTCAAAGCAGTGACCCTCCTGCAGCCCTGTTCTTGCTCCATTGAGAGCCAGTGAGGGTGAGCTGACAGGCAGCATAGCAGAGGACAACTCACCATTTACTGCCGCTCACACACAGACACACCTACACACACGCACATAGCCGCACACACACCTGCGAATCAGAGCAGGAAGAATTTGAGGAGGTCATAAAACCCATTGAATTCTGGTGAAGAGTCGATCAACAGAAATGTGCATTTTGCATTTTATAATTTGATATAAAAGGAATTATATTATCAGCATAATTTGAGTGAAAAGTAAAAAAAAACAACTAAAGTTTAAATGCTTAAATGCAAGAAAATCAGGTTTTAAGGTGGACTTTTGGACTCCAATGCCACATAGGATGGCTAGACAGATTTTAAATCAATTTTGTCATCATATTAAATGTGTATCATTTCTTTTCCTCAGTGAACCACAAAAGGAAACCGTGCAAACATTTTGGGGTTAGTAAGATTAATTAATGTTTTTGAATGAAGGCTACTGATCAAAAATGTGATAAAAAATACAGTAAAAGTAGTAATATTGTGATATAATATATACATATATTTTAATATATTATAAAATGACATTTAGACCTGTGATTGCATAGCTGAATTTTCAGCAGCCATAACTCCAGTTTTTAGTGTCATATGATCGTTCAGAAATGATCAAATTCTTTGTCAAATGTCTTTACTGCCACTTTTGATCAATTTAATGCTTCCTTGCTGAATAAAAGTATTAATTTCTTTCAAAGAAAAAAATCTTACTGACCCTTTTGAACTGTACCATATTTAGAACAATGTTGACCTTAGTCCATGCGACTTGTGCACTTTATTTTAAGTCTTTTGTAGTCCTACGATTTCTGTAAGGAAAAGGCTGAAATTTAAGCTATGATTCACTGATAGATCTCATAACTAAGGGTTTTATAACCAGGCATGGTCTGCCACATTTTATTCTAAGCATATTAACACCTTAGCATTCCTGTAAAATTAGCCTAAAACGCCTAAAACATGCAGTGTACCGCAGGCCGTACAGTGAAACGCTAACAGTTTAAAATTAGACAACTTAAGAACATTGAATATAGCATATTGTATGGACGACTATATACCATATTTTGAAGTTGACAGCCAAATATCTCCTTTTGTTGTCTATGTAAGAAGTAAAATTGTAAGAAGTTGGTATAATTTATGGTTATGTAAATGATGACAATTTTCATTTTTGGGTGAACTGTTCCTTTAAACACATACAAAAAGTTGTGATCACATCAAACTGAAATACTAATATACCAGGACAGATGGTGCATATGGGTGTGTAATTTCTGCGGTAAACTGTGTGATGGTGCTGTAAAAATAACTCAAGTCTGAAATGTCAAATTCACAGAACTCCTCTGACCTCTCCAGCATGGCCATTATTAAAGGTGGCAGCAAGAGAACAGGCATGGGCAGCACGACACGTGTCAGGGATGTCTCCATCAGAGCCTGAACAAAAAGACATTTATCAGTCCAGACCTCACAATAGGACTGCACAAAAGCTGACAGTAACCTTTCACCTTACACGTGGAAATGGATCCATACTCACATGCCTGGCAGCCAGCTTTGAGGTGCCCACCACATTGCCTTTGTCGTCCAGTACGCTGATGCCCTCTGACAGCTCAGTGTGGCGCATCAGCAAAACATTACACACGTTGGCACTTGCTAAATGAAGGGAGAGCTGCAGTTAGAAAACAGGACGATCACAAAAAGAATTCCATCTGATGCCCAACTTTTCCTTATTTGGATCCAGTGAGAGAGAATCACGAGAATTGGACTCTTGTTAGTCTTTGCAAGCAGATTACAATCTCTCTCTCTCTCACACACACACACACACACACACATCAATACATACATACATACATAATTATATAGACATTTTTTAACATATTATACCTTGACATGGAAACAGTTTTTAACATTAAAAATGTGTATCACTTCTAAATATGTGGTCACATCACAAATTTTATAGACAGTTTGCTAGATGGTGGGTGACACATCTTACCGCAATCTCCCATGCTATATATAATAAAAATACTACAGAACGAACACAATAAAATAGTAATAATCTGTCAGAGTCACCACCTGTGAATATTAAAATAAAAGCAATCAACACTGGAAAACATTCTTGATCTGGAATGTCGGTGCTAAGAGGGGTTAACTGGATATAAAACAAATAGTTTCATATAGTCATGTCAAAGTGCACACATGAATTACAAGCGGAAAAATGATTAGAATAATGATTTACTTCCTGGCATTATCATTTGTGGCATGTGGTGAGATTGGTGTGGGTGTGTGTGAGGGAGAGAGAAAGAAAGAGAGAAATAAAGAGAGCCTGAAGCATTTTTAATTTACAGGCCTTGTGTTGTGAGTTATCAGTGTTCAGTGCTGCAGTGTTGTGGGGCTGAGTTAATTGGCTGAGTAAACAGCTATTCACCTCTGAGGGGTTCAGACCCAGGCCAATTAAACACACACACAGAATCAAAAATGAAGAACAAAGAAACATAAACAAACGCATACTGAATTTTATATGAAGGAGGTCCTGCTTTATGTCACCTATAGAGGCAAAAACCATCTTAAAATATCTTTATAAAGGTTCTAAATTCAAGATGTCCTTTTGAGCTAAAAAAAAAAAAAAGATAAATTTGAATTTTACTTAAAATGTATATAAATGCTAATCCAAAATATTTCAAGGAAAATTTCAAACACTTTTGTCTCAACTGCGTTTCATTAGCTGCATTTAATTGCCTTTCATAACTAAACACTAAAACAACAACAACAACATGGTGGCTTGGAGACAGGGAACTCAGTGCTAACACAGAGAGCACTTTAGGCCTAATTAACCAATTAGAGAGTGGCAGCCGAGAGCTAACAAGGTCCCGTTACCCCAGCCCAGAGAGGTGAGGGGGAACCTGCTGATTTAATTAAAGGGGTGGGGGACGAAAACAATTTAATTACAGCCAAGCATCCCCAAGGCACTGTGGGACAGTCTCCCTCAGCCCCTCTGGACCTGTTTGAGCTTCAGAACGCTAAGGGAACACTGAGATAACATTTCAGCAGCAGCCCCCTCTGACAACAGGATCAGTCAAAACACAACACGTTAATACACAACAATAAACAAACGCTTGTGGTTTAATGAAAGTCTGAATAAATGCTCATTTAGAAATTGAGTGTCATTACAAATGCAAAGACGTGAGCTGCATGCATTAATTAATATCGTGCATTACTCGATCGTTTTATGCTTTAATAATCAGCAATTTAGCAAGACCGCATGACAGGATGCTTGATTGGGACAGATTAAGTAGTGCATGCCAGAAAATCAACACATACATAAACATGCTCTTGCACACATGCACATACCAACGGCAGGGAACGGGATGAACCTTTGGACCAGGATTCTTGTAGCTGGACTGAAATGCTCAGCTCTTTTAATAAGAAGATTCAGCCCCACCTGTGCACACATTCAATTACATTAATTTCACTATTTATTTAAAATAAAATAAAATGTTTTTAAATAAACATTTATACACATACTTTTCAAAAGTTTGATGTCAATAATAGTTGTTTTATAGCCCATATATAACACATGAAGTCAAAAACGTAATGGTGACAATACACATTTGTTTTCATAGTGACCTTAAAAACACGTAACTCCCAGTGGGGCTTCATGACAGGTCATGACAGGCTATGCTAAGTTGTTTCTCGTCTTGCCTTGTGAGCTTCTGGTCATCTCTATGAGCTCCAGTTAAAGGCCCGTCTAACAAACATCTGAGAAGCAAACCCATTCACATCCCTTCCCTTCCCTGCAGGGGTCTTCAGAGGGATTGTAGTTTTAATTAGTGCCCCCCTCCCATATTTCTCGCAGGCATGGGGCCATTTGTAGTTGTCGTCACCATGGTTCTGCTTGTCATGCCCCTGGGCATCAAACTGCCACCCAGCAGGGCAGCTAATTGGCTCTAGAGGACACAGGGGGCGTGACTAGAAGGATATGCAATTCAGCAATGTGAAATACAGCAAAGGGCTCTCATTTGATGCTATCAGCCTCCATCAGTTCGCTTATTAAATTTAAATTCATAGAATACTAGAAAAGTCATGAATAATATTTTTCTCTGTTAGGGTTAAATGGCAATTCAAAATGTAATGATTAAAAGAGAATTCTTTCTACACATCAAATTACATAATACAGTTTTGTGTATGCATGTGAACTCACCGCAATAGTAACGGCACTGCTGACTGCACCAAGGTAACCCTGGAAAAACTTTGACATTGGCGTGGGCTGAAAACATAAAAAAAAAAAAAATTAATAAAATTAATTCATATGACATATTTAGTAACACTTTCTATGATGCCTGTATATATAATGCATTATAAGTGCACTCTTATTCATTATAATGCATGCACTTCACAATAAGGTCTTATTTTTTTAAAAGTATTAGTCAACATTAAATAATCTTTTGTTGATCAGAGCATATTTTCTGCAAAATGTAAAAGCTAGTGGAAAAATTCTCTTGGGTTTTTGTCGAGGGAATCAGGGTGATGTTAACTTCTGTGTTGGCCTACAAAAATGCATCATCCCTGCAAGGCTCTATTTTTCTTTTTCATTACCTTTTAATGATAATTTTACATTATATGTGAACATAAAATATGCCATGCCATCAACATATGTACTGGTCAAAATTACATTGCTAATACACCACACCTTAGTCGCATTACGGTTGCAGTAGTTGACACAGGCGTTGTGGCTCTGGTTCAGCCACTGTGAGAAAGACAGTGAGACTGAGTTCATAGTAAACAGAGCTTAGACTGATATTTTATCTGTAAAGACCAGAAAAGCACATACCTGCCAGAAGATGGTGGAAGCAAATGTCTGATTGGGTAAAAGGAGGCCCACAACCTATAAATGGAGGAGTAATTTACAAGAAGTGTTTTAAACTTTACATTTGGTGGCCTGGAAAAGAAGGAAATGTTGAATATCTTTTCACAATGACCTACCACTGGAGTACCAAAGGGCACAAAACCTGAAAGGAAAAGGAGAAACGTGTGCCAACACAAAGAAAATGAAGGAGATGATTTCAGAAGAAAATGAACCCTTGATCCAATAATGGAGTCACACTAAGACTGTAATTTTGACATTTGAATAGACTGGATCAGGCCACAGAAGTACATTTCATGTCATGTTTGGTTTAATGATCAGGATTATAGACTCTCATATGACATTATGACTTTATTACTGACCTTTAACACATTAATAAAATCCTCATTACTCATACAAGATAGAATGGTTCAGCGGTAGCCATCATGATTGTCAGGCAGGCCTCTCCCTTACTGTTCTCTCTTTAAATAGTGGTGTTAACTATATATATATATATATATATATATATAAATTGACGTTTTGGGACAATTCGAACACATATTCATTTAAAATGCTGACCCACTATTTGAGGCTATACTACTGTATTTCTGCCGATAATCTAAAAATGTGTTTGACGTATTCTAAGCAACAACATTAATCCTTATCTCATTTTCCAAAAATGATATCACCAACAGAGGTCACTGTTCATGCGACTTAAACAAGGAGTGAGGGCGGAAGAAACAAACACTGCAGTGAACTGTTTGGTTTTGATTTGGTTTTAGCGAGGAAAATAAACAGCTCTTTTGAGCTGCAAAAGGCGATTTCTTCTCAAACAATTCAGTTGAAACACTCTTCCTCCAAACCCGTCTGCAGTGAGCCTTAAGAAATCAACCAGATGCAAAAACGCAAGTCTCACATTCTGTGTCCGGCTGTTGTTTACCTGATCAAACCGAGACTCGCCGAGTCTAAACGGAGGGTACTCAGTCGATTCAGGCATGGCAGGTGTTTCCCAGATGCACAGTGCAGTCAGTAAGGCAGTTTTACTGAGATCTGAAAGTTGCGTAGAGGTCCCTCAGTGTGGTCGAGTCATCCGTATCGATGCATTTTGGGTAATGTTGTTTTCTAACAGGTCAAAGGATATGTGTGCTGAATTACGTTTAGTTTAAAAATTTGCCATGAACGTCAGTGAATCGTTGTTTTTCTTTCATTAATAAATTAGGGAATAAATTGGTTCAGTTTAGTCATTATGACCTTGTTACTGTACAGGGTGTGTGATTTGATCATAGAATGGATACAATTTGTATCTATAATGTATTTACCCAAGATAGTCATTCCTCAAATAGCTTGTCTACATGCTGTGCAGTATTAATTTTGTTGAAAATTATGTTCTCCTATCAGTATCCTCTAAAAATATCAGGACCTAATTCAGTGCGAGCAAATCTAAATCTTTTTAGCATATTTGTTTGACTAATGGTGTGACTGAAAGCTAAATATGTAATCTAATTACTGAGGCAAATGTCATTTGGGTTTAGTTTGAATTACATTTAAAACTAAAACAATTACATTTAGTGCTCCATATACTAGTGTTGAAATAGTGGTTTAATTTTGAGACCCATGAGAGCTTTGTCTTCACGTCAAATAAGGACAGTCAGAGATGCATCCCAAAGTGAAAAGTTTATTTCATCAACAGAGACCTTTTCTTAGCAGAGATGCTTAAGAGCACGCCAAAAGTCAATTGAACACCTCTCAGATGAGGCATTTGATAAATAGAATACTTCACAACCTCCAGTGGACACTCATGTAACTACACCCTGAACATCCAATCAAACAGCACCTCAGGGAAGCACTTCAAATATTTTGCATCTAAAACAAATGGTTCCACTGAACATACTCATAATGTTCAGTGCTTAAATGCTACTTGATACGTGAGGTTAATTTAAGCCATTCTTATCTTGACTGTGACAGGAATCCACTGAAATTTACACCAAAGAAGGAAAAATTGAGCCTATTATAGTCTTGAGAATGAGGATTCAGGCATCAAGCTGCTTACTGATGCATTCCTTCAACTTTAAAATAAACCCTTTGCAATTCTTTAAAAAAATATTTAGGTTTTAAATGACCTTAAAAGAAAAAGAGAAAGACATTCCAGACCTCTAAAAATAAAATGAAATGTAGTTTAGTAAACACAAGTTTTTATTTGCAAGTTCCAGAGTTCGTACTACATAAAAATGTAGCTTTGATTATCATCTTCACCATTAAAAGCATACAAATCTTCTTCTACACACACATCTCATGACATCTCATGATAACATTCAGCCAAGGGCACTTGAACACATCTTCTTACTAGGCTGCAGGCTGTGTGTGTGTTGGTTAATATTTATATAAACTGCTGTTCAACACAGTGGCATCCTAAACAAATATTTCATATTACATTCCATCTGTTTAGACCTAGAAAAGTATGAATCTCTTAAATTCTGCAAAAGCCTGGCCTTCACATCTATTGCTTTCTATTACTACTGACCTTAAGAAATCACGATGTACACAAACAGCATTTAAAGGAAATGAGAGACGAAAAATGAACGGATTGTACAGACCTTCAGACCACCCAAAAGAAAAGGTGACAAAAGACCTGGCCACAAAGCAAAATATAATAATAAAAAAATAGATATTTGCACGATTAAAATGTAACGTTCTTGAAAAACTGTAAACTTTTACGTTAAGCCTTAATCAATGAACATTCATTAATCCACCTACAAATGTCTGATAGACAAACCTTCAGTGCACACGAGTCCTTAAGTGCTTCTACTCACAGCAATATGTTATTGATAGATCTTGAGCTTTCTAGCAGGGACTAGCACTGAAACAACATGAATATCCTGTGTTTAGAGGATGATCAGTCTGTGCAGTGAACGTGTGTTTGACTACGTGCACTTCCTAAGCTGTTGAGAAAGAACGGTTGTAAATGCCTCGGTGTGAGGTCTAAAAGTGCTGCGGCCTACGCCTCTATCACACATCTACATATAGTGCTACATTGTACACAGACAGTGGCAACACTGATTGTGGCGACATCATAGAAACACCAGAATTACATTGCAGTAACATTAACAGAGCCGTTGCGGTATTGAGAATACTGTAACGTTAATTTAGAGCAAATCAATTCTGGCATTTGCTGTTTTCATGGCTCTCGTTCTCTATTCAGATCCATTTGTTCATTTCGATACCTAACAGTCTTGGGAAAGTTTAACTTGAAACACTCCTCCGCCATTAGTTTTGTAATATAATGTGCAATCTAATTAAAAGTGGGGAGTTCAGCGAGAACAGAATGGAGAAAATACTGTATGATAAGGCAGCATTTGGCATTTTGTCAGAGTGGCATATATGCAATGAATACAGTATATATCCCATTCATTACACCTGAAAGCACTGGCAGCGATGTACGTGCATTGGCTCAAGCAAAGGAAGGGAGAGGAAGGACACTGACCTACAAACCGAAGCTAGAAGGTCAGTTGGTGTGAGCCTCTACCCTTAAGCTCTTAAGTAAAGTGCGGAAGACATGTAGGGAGGCACAAGCCGATTCGAAACTGGCTGATTCTGTCCTCTTTCCTGCTTTCTACGACTCAAGCTCCATCTCGCACACTTTCAAGTGATCTCAAAATCGTTCTTTTGTTCTCTGTTCCAGCAGCTGAACATTACATGTTAAAACGTGATAGAACAAACAAAAGATAAATCGATGTTTTTCTTCGTGCATTAAAAACCATTCACACTAGCACTAGAAGACTGGCATGTCACAGTCATGCCTTCCTTTCGATTGACAGGTGGTTTTGGTACATAGCTGGACTGGCTTGTGACATGTCTAGTGAGTGAATAACAGCTGACACATGTCAAAATGGATCTTACCAGCTTTAAAGTTTAGCAGCAGAGTGCCAACCTTTAACCATCAATGCAAACCTGCAGTGCATACGGACCCCAGTAGAGGCCCGGGTATTTTTGGACACAGTTAAGAACACCAAATCTATACCCTCTCCTCCAGACCCATCACCTAGCGCCAGATAGCTCTCTACATTTATATGGTTGCTGTAGCAGTGCAGGGTTGTGACATCCACCTAGGATTTGTTGAAGGATAGTGAAGGCGTTTGTTGTATCATTTCATCTTGGGGCGGACCTGCAGCAGCGTGGGGGTCTGCTCCATGATGCGTACAAGAAGCGTGTCGATGTAATCCTCTAGATCTTTGATCAGAAACTTCATCTTCTTTAGCTCGGTCTCGCGCTTCTCCAGCAGTGCCCCTCGCTTCTCGTACTCCTCCCGCTCCTGCCTGAGCTCAGTATCCCGCTGGATCAGCAAATTCACCAGCTCGCTGTGGTTCAGGTGATAGTACGAGCCTCCTCCCTCCACTAGCGGCTAAAACAAGAAAGACAAGAAAAGATTTACATTACACTAAATATTTTGAAGTTGATAAAAAAAAAAAGTCACTTCTGGATTATATTTGATTTGTGATCATGTTAATGAAAGAATTATTGTAAGTAGTACTAGTAGTAGTAACTGAATCAGTAGGTGCACATTTAATTTGATTAATATTTAAACATGTTAATTTTAGCTAATTAATTTACTAAGCTTTCATCTAAATATTCAAGTAAAAAATATCATGTCTGAGCATAATACATTTCTACAAAAATATCACGGTTTCTACAAATATATTAATCAGCACAACTGTTTTCAACATTGATAAGAAATGCACCGAATCAGCATATTAGAATGATTTCTGAAGGATCATGTGACACTGAAGACTGGAGTAATGAAGCTGAAAATTCAGCTTTGCCATCACAGTATTAAATTACATTTTAAAATGTATTAAAATAGAAAACAGTCATTTAAAAAAGTAAACCCTATTTCTAATTACTACTGTTTTTACTCTTTTTTTTTTTCTTTTTTTTTATCAAATAAAAGCAGCTTTGGTAAGCATATGAGACATCTTACAAAAATATTTTAAAAAGCTGCCCCCAAATTTTTGAACTGTAGTGTAAATGTGGGGAAATTATATCTAATATTTTTTAGATAAATATTACAATAATATTATTTTTAATAATGATCAGAGTAGGAAAACAGTTGTAATCGCACTGTATTTAGAAGCCAATAAGGAGATCAAGTGCATGACAAGTGAAAGCTGACTAAATGTTTTTAGGTTCATCAGTGTCAATTAATTAAATGCGATCTGTTTACTCAGATTTATCTACAAAGTGGACTGCTTTATACTCATGCAGTACCTTCTTGTCAGCATCCTGGCCTGTTCGTCCTGAGTGGATGGTGGATTTAAGCTTCTCTAGTACTGAGCGACCCTCTGACCTTTTCTCGTCAGGAGGTGTCAATGGCTTCACTGGGTGTGGACTAAAAGACAATGACGTGTCAAGATTAGATGGGGAAGAGTGCTAAAAACAATGGTGACAGCTTAATATAAAGAGTTAATGAATTTATTCACAGCAGCACACCAATTAAGATGTTTTCATGAAAAGTTCTGAGAGAAAAGAGATCTCAAGAACACAATAAATGCTATCTTCAGTGACCATCCTACAGCCCCAGATGCATTAAGGGTAATTGAGTCAAAAAATATGAAAGAAACAACCAAGCCCCTGAAATCATAGAAACTAAAAATGTACTTAGGCAAGCTTCCTGTGGACTGAACAACGCACACTCACAGCTCACTAGGTTAACACCTGCTAATTGAAGCGAGGCTCCCCCATCTCTACTGTAGGATCCACAAGAGAGTGTGAGCCTATGTGTGACTGTCCATGGAGAAATCAGGAGACATGCTGCTACCACAAACAAATTAACACAAGAGAGAATATGTGGATGAAGGGGAAGAGTCACCCTGCAACCCGAGAAAGTGAAGCGCATTGATGGCTGCATATAATAAGACATCCCAAAAGACACCTTGCCCAACCCCATAACACCATTTTCACAAGAAACATACCTCACACCACATTTGCAGAAATAGGAACTCTGTAGTTACTGAAACTGGCAAGATATCAATGGTAGATGCATGTAGAACCTCAGTTTATGATGCTGTAGCCCATACGTAGTCCAGCACCAAAATAATTTCTAGCATGGATGGACCATATATTGGTGGTCTTATCTCTATCACCCAATAAATGGTACATTTTAATGGTATCTGTGCAATATATTTAAGCAAAATATAAATAATCGTTATCAGCATTGGCCAAAATTTCCATTTCCGAGTAGAAATTTTCAGTTTCAGTAATTACAGATTTTACCTTTAAACATCACTGAAGACAATTGCAAAGTAGAATGAAAGTGACTGGTGAGCCCAAGGAATTTAAAAAAAGTTCTTGATCACTGCAAGATCAAGACCTTGAGGAATCAACCTCGGTCTCTCATGACAACTACAACCAAGCTAATTGAGACCTCACCTGCTCTGATGATCAGATGTCTGTGTTTTATCCTGGAGAAAAGGATTGTATGCTGTAGAATTCACAGGCTGCATAGTAGGAAGAGGAGCAGCAGGTTCTGGATGTGGCAATGACTCCACTGTGGTAGGGGGAATTGTGGGGAAGGGGAATAGCTGGGGCAGAGTATTAGTGTCTACTGCTACATGTGGTGTTGAGGAAGCTACAGGTGAAAGGTCGAACAAAGAAGATGTAAAGTTAAGATTATGATCATGCCTTGAAGCCACTGTTGGCTGGTCGAAGGGTGAAGGGGCTGATGGCTGGGGTAAAGGGGGCCAGTGCACTGGAAATGAGACAGGTGTCACAGAATGTTGAACAGCTGGAGTTGTCCACAAATCAGTATTTACGTCTAGACTCTCTGCTGGTTTAGGATTTGGTTCCAGGTCATTGTGAGTTTCTGCAGATTCAGGGTTTGCAACAGGACCTTTGCTAGTACAAAGAAGGTGCGTTTCAGTTGGCTGGGGTACAAAGATGTTTTTCAGGTCAGAATCAGTTACGACAAAGTCCTGAGTGATACCGGAGGTTTGTCCTGATGAACAATTAGATACAAATACATTAGAATCAGTCAACTGGACTAAATGAAAGTTGTCCTCTGATTCATTCCCAAAAGATTCTAAATTAAAGGATCCATCATTTGGGCAGGTTTTACACTCATCTACCAGACATGTGTCTGTATCTAATGGCGCAAGCTGAGCCTCAAGTTCTGCTATCATTTCTGAGGTAACAACAATTGGCGACATATCTTTGGGAAAGTCATATTTCTCAACAATTTCCCCTGAAGGGTTGCACTGTAGCACTGCTTCGTCAAAATCTGACTTTATCGTGTTCTCAGATGAAGTATTGTGTGAGGAGGCTGGTTTTGGTGTAAAGGTGTGAGTTTCTGGGAGGAGGTCCAATAAGCAATTATTTGGTAGAACATTCAGTGGAGATTCTTGTTTTGGCAAGGCTTCTGGAGAAGAAATAATGTTTTCTGCTATGACCTGATCTTGCCTACAACCCATTTCTGGTACGCCTTTTACAGATATGTCATCTTGTGACACAACATTAGGGATATGGTTTGGCAAGGATTCAAATTTTGAAGTGTCTTCCTCAGACAGATCATGTCTTGGTTTCACTTCCTTTGTGAGCTCTAAGCTAGGAGAAACTGGGAAATCCTGTTGAGATACACAAGCAAGATACTGGTCTGAATCTGCACTCTTGTACAGGCTGTGGAGAAGCACTCTACCAGGTGAGAGCACCGAGTTTGGATCTGATGCATCCTCCCCTGTCCCTGTTCTAATTCCAGTGGTGGGATGGAGATGTCCTACAGGAACTGTTGGTCTATTAGAATGCATTATTTCTTCCTCTTCACTAATGGTGCTAAGTTGCCTTACCAGGTAATCTTTCGTAAATGGACAGGTTTGCAATTCACTGACTTTCTCTTTGTCTTCCTGCATGTCATTAGACATGGATTTTGAGAGTACTGGAAAGGAAGGGCCGTCAATTAGGTTCTCAGGAACAAAGTCTCCGATTTCGGAACAGATATCTTTACTACTGACACCCTCTAAGAGACCATTTCCTGATTCATTCTGAAGCATGGTGTCCATAACTACATACGTTTTCCTTCCGTTCTTCACTGGCAAAGCAGGTGATACTAGAGAACTCTGTTCTGATTGAACATGGAATACTGAATACTCAGTGGCTTCAACTAGGGACTTTCCACTTACCGCCACATTTTGAATGAGTGAGGCATCTGATCTCCAAAATTCTTCATTGGATTGTATTATATTACTTTGAATGATGTCAGCCTGTGGAGAAAGACGGTGCTCAATAGACTGGTGGTCTTGGTCTCCACCTAAGGAATCAGGTATCACAGTTGACTGTTCCAGGGTGTCACATGAGCTGTTGTCTCTACAGAGTTGCATAGGATCCTCATGCACTGTCACAGACTCAATATCTTTAGCAAACTCTAGCATTTCAGGCCTCTGTGATATTTCAGGACTCACAGACACCCCCTCTGAAAATTCAAAGGAGATACTAGGAGGAAGGTCAACAGTGTCTGCTTCTGATACTGTTGGCCGTGTGACATCTGATTTGGCATTTTGTTTGTTCTTTGGGCGGCCTTCAAGAGTTGTGTCATCAGCACTGTCTTCATTATTGGAGCGGGTTGACAGTGCAGGATAAGGGCATGCAAGTGTATTCAGTTCAGAAAACTCTAAACTGGAATTTTCGGGTAAGGAGATTTCGGATGAATTAAGATCAAATTCTGGGAAGCCATGCGCCACATGAGCAGTGAGGTCAGGCTTGTTAGAACTTGAGCAAATATAATTAACATCCCTTCCTGAAACTTGAGGTGTGTCAGCAGCAGTTTCCTTAGATGTCTCTACAGTACTTGCTGAAGCAGTTTGTCCTAAATCAGTTGGGTAATTTGTATCCGACACCATTAAGTCACCCAAAGCACCTGAGGGCTCTTGATTATTTGTTTTCATAAGGAGAGCAGGGGGTGTAACCGCATTCGTTGTTTCATTCACCTCCTCTGACTTCAATATGTCCTTAGCAAAATGTTCAAAGTCATCCTTTTCTGTCGGCCCCTCGAAG